TAACCGACAACCACCACTATGAACCTAAGTGGTGATAAAATGTGTTGCCAACACTGACAGAATTGTCCTCTACTTTCCCGTCATATAGAACGCTTTTCATACTGCTTCCACTAGCTTATACTAAAAGCATATTAAGGAATCCTTTAAAAAATATGATCATTTATTAACCATGATGTCTACTGATAAGCTTAAACTTACTTCTTATTTGACAAGTAAAGCGGTCGTGTCAAGTAAATAACCCAACTAGTGAGGTTGGGACCCTTCCCACGAGTAAAATAGTTTAGACTTAACCTTAACCTATTATTACTATTGTTCGGTCAATTACTTACTTGAAAAGAAAAAACAATTAAAAGGGGAGTTTCTATTTCAAAATGGATGAAAATAACTAATGAAATTGAAAGAGACACTTAACAGCTTTGAATGTTAGAGTTTAATCAATTAATCAAAGTAACTATGGTTTACGTGTATCCACAGGTTCATAACTTGATAATTCTAACTATAACAATTCTTTCCTAGTATCTTGAATGCAAAGTGATAAGTTATGTATTTCTAAATCCTTGGTCCGGCATCTAGAAAATCTCACTCCGCACCTTGGTCCGGCTACGTGTCTTGCTATCCTAACCCGTATGTTTACTTCATATTAGGCATCGTATTCGATATTTGACTAAGTTATTACCTCGTACCAATCAATACTAGCCTATTAGATAGTATACAATAAATCTATGTTGATAATTCTTTTCCTATTATCTACCTCTTTGGTCCGGCAAGTAACATTAAGACGAGTACTAATGTTTACCATCCGTTAAAAAGACTGCTATGCGAAAGAATTATTAATACATGCAAGATACTATTCTAGAATTGGTATTTTAGTTACGTTTTATCTCATTATTTGCCTATGGTTCCCACAACCCTAATTATGGAGTTTAGTTACTCATAGTCATAATCACAATATTCAAATATATTATATAAGAATTCATGTACTTACTTCAATAACAAAGAGTAAAATCCAAAAGTTTTCTTGATTAATCACCAACAATCAGTTGCAAGAATCTTAAAGTAATCAAGAATCTCACAAAAAGTCTAATGATAATGAAAAGTCTAACACTAATAGTAGAGTCTAATAATGATCCCGAGTCTAACCTCAAAATGAAGTTTTTCGAACTATTTATAGAAAATAAAAACCTAATTAGACAAGGAATCTATTTTCTTGAAATCTGTCAAAACGCGACTGGGTCGACAGACCTCGCGACGGATCGTCATGGTCAGAACGAACCTTCATGGAATCCGTCGTCCCATACATGTGCAATTTCTTCTGCAGCTCTCTTCATTACCCTCGACGACAAGTATGTCGGACCTTCATAGACACAACGGTCCTTCAAGGGTCTTCATTCCAAAACACTTAAACTCTTGGAGTATGGGTACTGGGATTACTTCTCTGAAGTTCATCACGAACCTGCAGGATGGACCATCATAGACAGGACGGACTGTCCTGCACTCCGTAACCCCACAATTGGTCGGACTTCCCCATCTTTCTTCAGCAGCTGCACTAAGTGGCCACCTACGGACCGTCACAAGCACGACGGACCGTCACAAGCTCCGTAGGTGGTCTATTCTGCATTTCTTCGCTCAGAATCTCCGCATACATCTTTGAACATATTTCCTGCAAATAAAGAGAAACTTATATAAAAATTAGCACAAAAAGGCTTTTGGACACACTAAACATAAGGAAAAAGTATTCATAATACCGTGAAACCACGGTATATCAACACTCTCAACTTAAATTCATTGTTTGTCCTCAGGCGACGCACTATGACCCAAAACAAAATCTTTGTACAATAGTATCCATGTTTTATCCTTTGCAATAATTGGGCTATCAATCCGATTAATCTCATCATATCTATGCATGCTATCACTATTAGACTTGAATTATGTGGTATCAGAACATGATAATACCTATCATCTTCAATTTCTCACTGAGATGCTAATATTTCCACTATTACAACTAGTGTCCTACGTTGAAACAAAATCCTCATTTTTCACACAATGATTTCAGTTTAAGTATAAGGATTACTTTTCAACACTCGGTCTCAGAACAAAGTCACACTCATTCATACCTATTTCCATAAGCTTGCCCTTATTTTCACTGCCTTAAGTTCACTATACAACCCTTAGGATTGTGATAGGACTTTCTTAGCTTGTAACATTGACTCAGGGTCAGGTAGGGTATATTTAGGTATACTTTAGTGAATTTTTGCCCTCCTTGACATATCGGCTAAACCTACCACTTTCTATCATTTTATATCGCCCAGTTTCTCATATTCTTTCACCTTGATATTTTCTCTTCTTTCTTCATTTGTGTAAGTGACTCTCTTCTTTTCTTGCTTGTATTTGTTGTAATTTTTTTTTCTTTGCTTTTCTTTCAACTAATTTTTAAGTCATTTTACTTTTGTTCTTTAATTTTCTTTGTTCTTTCAACCCCACTTTCCAGAGCATTCCTCATAATAGCCACCCATAACTTATGGCTTTGCTATGAGTCAAGGTACACAATACCCAAAGTTGGGTCAGGTTCATAATGAAGGTTGTTTATTGCATTAAACACCCTAAACTTATGCTTTTGGCATAAGCTGAGGTGCACATGTCCAAGGAGGGACCAGGGCCAACACATTGTTCCTAGAAAAGATCAGTTGGGGTGAAAAAGAAAGGTCTAATTTAAGCTCATATCATTTGAATCAAATAAGAATAAATTTTATTTGGTTTTATTTTATTAAGGTTAAAAATGGGCTATATTGAATATGGGCCTATAATCCTTTCCTAATTGTCTAGTACACCTTACTTTTAGCAGGAGTAACCAGGCAAGTTCTTTCTCAGTACAAATAGTGGACTATTCAAATCCCTCACACTCACTTGACATCTCATCACTCTACCAGATTATCAGACACCTAGTTCGAATTTTATACTTAGGGTAATGAAATGGTGTACCTCTATGTCCTGCTTAGAGCCACACATTTATTAGTTACTATGCCTAGTGGTGCATCATTTTCCAGTTTATCAGGATATCATTTTAGCCATCATTCTCGAGAATTAAACTATGTTCAAAAGATATAGACATGACGGTTCAACAGAAAAAGTAATCAGTCTTTTGGGGGAAAAGAACACAGACAAGAAAACCCCAAAAGAGGATAGTTAAGTGGGCTACTCAGACTTCACCCTTGCACTCATTTTCCATTTACCCCACCCCCAACAAAAGAACATGCAATTGTCCCCAATGCATAAAAAATTTAATCACTAGATTTGTAGGTGAAGCAAACCTGCTGTGCAAAGCGCCGTCGATCAGCAAGCTGGTGGGTCAGGTTCCCCGGAACCTACGTCCTCTGCAATCTAGACACCCTCAATGGTGTCCTCAGCAACAACCGCACTATCAGCATTGCCTCCCGCTATTTCCAGAGTTCAGGAGCTAGATGCCCCCGCCGCTAACTCTCCTGCTCTCATCTGGTGGCCGCCTCCTCTGCAAGTGAGACTCTCCTTGCAGCCTCAGTCTCACGACGCTCCTTCTTCCGTGCTCGCGCCTCGTCCTCTGCTTGACCCCTATTGCATGCTCTCGAGGGGGAGGTTGTGGAATCTCTAAGGTGGCGAATAGGGCCGCCAACACTGTGTCTTCAGCAGGCTCCATAAATGGGGCCTCAGACTCCGGCACCGTAGCCTCTAAGATCGTGTCAATATCTGCGAAGACTGTCGACCGTAGCCTAAAGGATCGACACATCCACCGGAGGGGCTGGCCGGGCAAGCACTCGTAACTCAAAGGCGTCCAAGCGCTGGTGAACCTCAGCGATCTTCCGCTGTGTATACTGGACCATTTTCCGCTCCAGGCGCTCATCTACCTCGGAATAGACCTCTTCATCCACGGCTAGATATGATACAGAAGTGTAGCCATTTGCGCCTCTAATTTTTGGACCCTAGCAAGTGAGGCCAGTGCGGGTAGATGGGCTGTTTTAGAGGAGCTCAGGGCAGTGCTACTACCCGGGATAGACTCAACCGAGGTAGTGACAGTGGACGCCGCCGGCGTAGCCGTGTGAGCCTCGACTACCGTATCAGCAAGATCGTCAGCAAGTGGGGGCAGTTTTGGATGGGTCCCTTAGGGTGGCGCCAACTCATTGGCCTCATCTCTGATGAGGCCGACATCAACAGTGCCCATAGAGGTCTTGAGCTGATCAACGTGCCATATAGGCACACCTGCGGACCTGCAGAGAGAAAAGATCAGGCACGGGAAAGGGTAAGTAGTTGTGACCTTTAAAGCCCTCTCGTGCATGACCGCCTGTAGAAGCCACGTGAAATCCACCTCGAACCTGGCTATCATCGCCTCCATCAATACTGCTTGATCCCATGTGACGATATTATCAGCGCCCGTGGGGGAAAGGTAGTGGCGGACAATCTGCCACAAGAAATTCACCGTGAAATTTAGGTTGCCCTTCTTCATGGCCCTCTTTGGCTCGGTAACCCAGTCGACACCCTCTCCATCAACTGAAAGGTGCAGGGCCATCCAGCTGTTGGTGGTCTCTCTCAGCGATGGCTCAAGCAGGAACTGACCATCTTTAACAAGCTGCAATCGGTAGTCAAACTCGATAGTGACAGGGGTCCAAGTAGCATCAACACCCTTGCCGTATTGAAACCGGCGGATGGCAGAGGGAAATGTCGACCTGAACGCCCCGTAGTCAGACTTTCTCATGTGGAGCCTTATTGGCGGGGGAAGCCCGCCTATTAATCTGTTATAAGAGAGTCCCTACGTAGGATGCGTAGAACTCTCGGACCATTTCTTCATTGTAACGTCCTAACGGACGTGCTGTCCACTCAAGGCAATGCCTGGTGAAGAGATTGTGAATTTCAGGCATTGTCGGATGACTCACTATAAGGACCCGCCGCTCCAATGTGAGTGTTCGAGTCATAACTCCTTTGTCGTTCAGGAACTTGGCATCGGAGTAGACTTGAAATTTCCCGTCGACACACTACTGGTTAGGCTGGTTAGTAGCCGGGGTGAGGGAATGAGCTGGTGAACCTAGTGTGGAGTCCGAACTGTCAGCGTCATCAGAAAAGGCTGACGCTGCAGTGTTGGCGGGTGCGGTAACCTCAGCAGAACCGGAGGCTTCCTCCGACCACGAAACTCCTAAGGAGCCAGACGCTCTTTTTTCGTTGGTGGCTGAACCTGAAGGTATGTCGGTAAGTGTGCGCTCCTCATCAGACTGGGAGGTAGTGATTACGCTGGATGCAACCTTTGTGGGTGTGGCTCTGGTGGCACATGGAGCACGGGAAGGGGTGGAAGTGCCTGGGGGCACGTACTCGGGGTCACGCTCATTATCAGAGCAAATGACCATGCAGGCAGACGGGGCGACAGACTTCAATCACCCGCATGCATAGATTCGATCTTGCTTGGGTGACATAGTATATAGTACCTGTAAAAGATCAATATTAGTACGAGTAGTGGCAAACGAGACAAGCAAAACCACACAAAAAATATTAAAATAATATGACGTTTCTATACTAATAGTGACACACGACAGGTCTGGTAACGGCTCGTCGTGACTATGACAGACCGTTTTGGGGTCCGTCGTGTCTTCCTTAGACTATGTATATATGGAGAACCTTAAAGGAGAGTCTCTGACCAGAGTGACGGTATGTGCATGATGGACCTTCACAGGTACGACGGTCTGTCATAGGTGTCTATCAGAGGAAACTTGAAAAAAATGGAGACCCTTAGGAGAGGCGTCTCCGACCGTCATAACTGTCATGCAGAACGGACCTTCGTGGGTATGACGGTCCGTCGTACTCTTCCATTTGAGGGTACGAGTCTCTCACAACAAGAATGGTTGTGCAGGACAGACCGTCGTGAAGACAACGGTCCGTCACATATGTCCGTTGGAGGACACTTAGAAAAAAAAAGAGTCCCTCAGGAACAGGGTCTCTGACAACCAAAACAGTTGTGCAGGATGGACCATCGTGAATACGACGATCCGTCACATGTGTTCGTTGGAGGACACTTAGAAAAAATGAGAGACCCTCAGGAACAGGGTCTCTGACAACAAGAACGGTTGTGTAGAACGGACCGTCGTGAAGACGACGGTTCGTCAAATGTGTCCGTTGGAGGACACTTAAAAAAAGGGGCAGTGGGGTGTTAGGGCTTTTTGAATGGATCATATGACGGTCCATCGTGGGTATGACGGTTCATTATCGGGGTCTCGTTCCGTAGATCAGTGACATAACTGGGGGTACCCCATTCATCCCGTTTGACCCAAATCGAATTTGTAATGTTTTGCACCTACATTTGACTAACCCAAAGTACCTAGTAAACTAGTAATTGCAAAAGCACCTATGTCTAGGGTTGTAAACACGGCAATTTCGGAGATTTTTAACCTAGGTTAGACATAATTTTATATAAAAGAAATAAACATATCAATAAAAACTAGGCTAAAAATAATGGATAAGCAAAAATGCAAGATAAATGAGTAGAAATTAGAGACACATACCTGAGAATTGGAGAAAAACAAGATGGAAAAGTATTTGGTGACCGAGAAGACACCCACAGAAGGAAATCCGACTAGTAGATGATAACTTTAATCTATTATTACTGTTGTTCGGTAAATTACTTCCTTGGAAAGCAAAAACAATATAAATGGGGTTTCTATTTCTAAATGAATTAAAATAACTAACGAAATTGAAAGAGACACTTAACAGCTTTCAATGTTGGAGTATAATCAATTAATCAAAGTAATTAGGGTTTACGTATTCCTCGCAGGTTCATAACTTGATAATTCTAACTATTACAATTCTTTCCTAGTATCTTGCATGCAAAGTGATAAGTTATGTATTTCTAAATCCTTGGTCCGACATCTAGAAAATCTCACTCCGCACCTTGGTCCGGCTACATGTGTTGCTATCCTAACCCTTATCTTTACCTCATATTAGGCATCGTATTGGATATTTGACTAAGAAATTACCTCGTACTAATCAATACTATCCTATTAGATAGTATACACTAAATCTATGTTGATAATTATTTTCCTATTATCTACCTCCTTGGTCCGGCAAGTAGCATTATGGCTATTTCAATGTTGGCCATCCGTTAAAAAGACTTCTAAGTGAAAGAATTACTAATACATGCAAGACACTATTCTAGAATTGTTATTTTAGTTAGGTTTTATCTCATTATTTGCGTATGGTTCCCACAACCGTAGTTATGGAGTTTAGTTACTCATAGTCATAATCACAATATTCAAATATATTATATAAGAATTCATGTACTTACTTCAATGAGAATGAGTATAATCTGAAAGTTTTGTTGATTAATCACCTAAAATCCCTAACAATCACTTGCAAGAATCTCAAAGTAATCAAGAATCTCAAAAAAAGTCTAATGATAATCAAAAGTCTATAACTAATACCTACAGTCTAATAATAATCCAGAGTCTAACCGCATAAATGAGGGTTTTCGAACAATTTATAGAAAATAAAAACCTAATTAAACAAGGACTCTATTTGCTAGAAATCTGTCAAAACGCGGCTGGGTCGACATACCTCACGACGGATCATCGTGGTCACGACGGACCGTCATGGACTCCGTCGTCCCATACTTGTGCAATTTCTTCTGGTGCTCTCTTCATTAGCCTCGACGGCAAGTATGACGGACCGTCATTAGCACAACGGTCCGTCGATGGTCTTTGTTCCAAAACACTTAAACTCTAGGAATATAGGTACTGGGATTACTTCTCTGAACTTCATTACGAACCTGCAGGACGGACCGTCATAGACACGATTGACCGTCATGGATTCTGTAAGCCCACACATGGTCAGACTTCCCCATCTTCCTTCGGCAGCTGCACTACGCGGCCACCTACGCACCGTCATAAGCACGACGGAACGTCACAAGCTCTGTAGGTGGTCTATTCTGCATTTCTTTGCTCAAAATCTCCGCATACATCTTTGAACAGATTTACCACAAATAAGGAGAAACTTATATAAAAATTAGCACAAAAAGTCTTTTGGACACAATAAACTTAAGCAAGAAGTATTAATAATACCATGAAACCATGGTATATCAGCTACACAATTATTGGAAGCGTTGAATTTTCTTAACTCAAAATTGTACCCATATCGGTGCTTCATAGTACTCCCAAAATATACTTTAGCTCATTAATTTGTAAGAAGAAAACTCTTTATTTGGTTTGAGATAATTATTCAAAAATTATCTTAAAATTGATGTTCCCTTTGTTTTACAAATGTGAAAATATTTTATAACTCTTTGGGAATACATAGTCCCCATATACTTCTTTGAAGAAATGACTTCAATATTTACTCCTACTCTTTACTCTTTACTCAACTTGACTTTAAGTCTTTAAAGAAAAGTGAAAACGTTTGTGAAAGACTTTTGAAAACTTTGTAAATTTTATTTTGACTTTCTCTTAACTTCTAGACTTGACTCTTATCTTCTCTTGACTTGAATCTTAACTTCTCTTGACTTTGATCTTAAGTTTTCGTGAATTGGATTATGAATTCAAGTTTGATTATAGCATGCTTATGGATGATTTCATGATATTTAAGGATACCGTAGAGAGTTTGAATCAACTAGACAACATAGATGTAATGCTAAGGAAAAAGTATAAAATGGTGGGAATGTAATGGGAACAAATGGCGTACGTGGCACTCTAAGACGCGCGGGGCACCAACCCTTAAAGTACAAAGGGGTCCTCTTGGTGCTCCAGCTGGCGCGACGCATTTGACGCCAAAGTTCAGAGGATCTTTTATGGCGCTCTAGCAGGCGCGCTACCCCAAGCCTTGCTCAGAAAATTCCCAATTTTTCTCTGTTTTTTTATCTACAAAACCTCTAAACTTCAATGTCCCCCCCAAAAAAACACTAAGAATCAATTATACCCTTAATATATTTGATAGATTCAACAAACCCAAAAACTCAAACGATATACTTTCAAATCAAACATATTTGCTGAATTGAATTAGGAATGGAGTGTGAGTGAATAAACCTAACAGTATGTGATCTCACATACCTTTTAGGTATAACCCGCAACGAAATCCACAAGATAAACACGACGAGTTTGATGAATCTTAAACATTCTTCTCCCTTCTCCTCTTTTCTCTTCTTTCAAAAGCCTAACTTATTTTTCTATAAACTAAACTGACTATGATTCGTTTATACGCCAATTTATCACCAAAAAAGAATAACATAATTGGGTAAATAAAAGACCAAATAACGCTTTCAAAATCCACATTGGAATTTCCTTAGTCCAACAAACAAACTTCTGAAGGGCATAACTCACTGATATAAACTCAAAATCATGCAAACTTGGTGGCATTAGAAAGTTTATTCAAAGAGATTTCTAACCATATCATGAAATATATCTAACTCATCCTGATGAAGGAGTTATGATCGTTTGAGATTGACAAAAACCTAAACTTTTCTAACTTAAAACAAATTTCCAGATTTTATTTTTTCCAAAACTCAGTATTTCCAATTCTAAGATTCTTCCTAGTTATTTCAATTTGCAGATGTTATATTAGGTCCCCTTGAGAACATTCCTCCTCAAATGAAATTACTCTTACTAGGATAAAGGTGTAACATGCATCAACTAAAACACCCAATCAAGCAATTCAACTAGACTATGCTAACTTACTAAATAAATACCAAGAAAGGATTAGTACCATCATTAGTAGGTTCTCTAGATTCAGAGAGATATCGATACCTCCTGTTCATATCCTTCTTATTTTCCCAAGTGTCTTCCATAACAAATTGTTTTCTCCAAAGGACTTTGACTGACAGTACCTCTTTGATTCTCAACTTTGAAACTTGGCCATCTTGAATCTGAGTCGATATCTCCTCAGAAGATAAGCTATCCTTGATCCCAATATTTTCTGTTATATTCAATGAAGGATCGCTAAAACACCTTCATAATGAAATAGGATGAACTAGAGCCTTATATGGTTTTTATGAGTTAATAACTTCGTAATTTAATGAGTAAATGAGTTTCTAGGTTAGATTGGTCGTTTTTGGAGGTTACACATCAAGGGACAATCAAGACGTCAAAAAAGTAGTCTTTTATGTATTGATATGTTCTAGTAGGTTTTCCAAGTTTTATGTGTTATTTAGAGTCTACCTCTGCGTTATTCAGCAGAGGTGACCCTAGTCTCTTAATAATTGTGTGTAGGGTCAAAACATCCAAGTAAGACTCCACAAGGATCGACCTTGCATGTAACATCTTTTTGGAGATGCTTCCGCGTCACTCACCTGTCACTCTTTTGTTAAAAATGAGTTTCCAAATA